GTAATGATGATTTGGTAGAAAAGCTGCATCCAAGGAAGATCTAGTCCTTTTGGAGCAGAGATGTGCTGAGGACCACCACTAAGGGTGTCACGACTTATGCTCAATTTCGATTATCGATTTAAAAAATAGAATCGTCGATGCTGCCACGCCCCCATGTCACGTCAGCTTGGCTTGCCAAGCGGGAAAAAACGCTCTTGTTGAAGTGCTTGTTAAACGGCAGACACAGGAGACCCATCGACAGAGCTTAAACTCTCTCCTCTTTCAATGAAGTCGCCGGTGTGGAAGTATTTTGGATTTCCACCGAGTTATGTTGACAACGTTCGTGTTGTCGACAAAAAAAAAAAAAACAGTTTGCAAGCTCTGCTATGTACGTATTAGGGTTGGGCTGATAGACGATGGGTGCATCGCGATCCTGCGCCCCGCCCCCGTTGCAAATCCGCTCACGAAAAATGCACACTCAGGCCGTGTTTACACTAATATGTCTTTGTTTTTAAAATGGCATTTTAGAACGACAACGATCCACATCCACTCTGGCGTGTAGCATTTCTGGGCAGCCCTCCTTCCTCACTACCGCTGAAAACGCACATCACGTGACCACACACAGACACACACACACACACAGTCATGCGCTCGAGACAGCGGGTCCAGGCAGTCAGCGGGTCAGTAGACTGCTTCCATCTTTTACTTTCACACTTGTACTTAGTCATTTTAGCGAACACCTCAGATACTGTTGGCTGGTTCCTGTTGGTTGTGCACCTTTTTTGCAGACGCCATTATAACGACACAGATCACTGCCTATTCACCAGTCCGTGCGGAAAAAGTGATTGACAGGTGGTAATTATGTGTGTAACTTACCTTTATTCATTTACTGTACGATTTGTTTATGGGTAAAACAAAGACCATGCAAGTCCGGTAGTTTAAACGGTAGGCTACAAATAATTAATTCGTTATTAATTTATTAATTATTCATAATCGAAAATTGAATTGAACCGTGACTTTAGAATCGAAAATGTAATCGAATCGAGGATTTGGAGGATCGTGACACCCTTAATCACCGCATGAGAAAATGATTTAAATGTTTAAAAATGTTCTTTAAAGAAAGAGAGGAACACATTTGGATATTTCACCTTTAACAGTGCTTAACAATTCAATCATTTATGGAACTGGAGGAATTTCAGTGCGTAAACGACAATTGCGCAAGCCTAAGCTGAACTACAGGGATCTTTGATCCCTCAGGCGGCACTGCTCTGAGAATTCTCATTCATCTATAAGCGATATCACCACATGGGCTTAGGACTACTTTGGCAAACCTTTGTCAAGTACCACAATACTTAGTTACATCCACAAATGCCAGTGAAAACTGTTCTGTGCCAAAAGGAAGCCCTATGTTAACAGTGTCCTGAAGCGCCGTCGACTTTTAATGAGCTCAGAGGCATGTGGGATGGACCATCACCACCCAGGGTCATTCTGAATGCGTAGTCCCATGGATGTTTCTAGAGAACCCGAAATACGTCCCGAGAGATACGCATTTTTGCAGTTTTTGTTTTCAAGAATCCATGAGAGGCCGCTGTGTGGACTATCAAATCTCAAATTTCTCTCGCGAGTGCCCACCAGAGGCTGCTGTTGACTGACTGTCTGTCTGTCTGTCTGACTGACTGAATGGCCGACCGGCCAATCGACTGACCCACCCTCCTCCTTCCCTTAACCCAACCAATTTTATCGATTGACACTCACTTCCCTAAACCCAACCAATGATTTACAAAAGCTGTCCGGAAAAAGAAAATCCCTCGTCTGATTTTTACCACATTTTTAGATTTTACCAGATTCTCACCCAGTTATTAACTTGTTCATTTTATTTTTTTGGATTCTGTTTTTGTCTGACCTGATTTCTGAAAGAGCTCTTCCCCGGACTCGAACCCAGTCGTCGTCAACTTCTCTCTGCGTGTTAAGTCCGCCGATGTACACAACAAGCTGACTGGACAAACTGTACACTACCATGCAGTAGGTAGTGCAGTCGCCTCACAGCAAGAAGGTCATGGGTTCGAGCCTCGGCTGGGTCAGTTGGCGTTTCTGTGTGGAGTTTGCACGTTCTCCCTGCGTTCGCGTGGGTTTCCTCCGGGTGCTCCGGTTTCCCCCACAGTCCAAAGACATGCGGTACAGGTCAATTGGGGAGGCTAAATTGTCTGTAGTGTATGTGTGTGAATGTATGAGTGTATGGATGTTTCCCAGAGATGGGTTGTGGCTGAAAGGGCATCTGCTACGTGAAAAGGTGTAGGAAAAATTGGCGGTTCATTCCACTGTGGCGACCAGGATTAATAATGGAACTAAGCCAAAGTGAATGAATGAATAACTAATAAATTTATACATACAGCCACCCATAAACCAACATAACCAGTACACACACACACCAACCACTAAAATCAGTACACACACACATACACACACAGTCATACACAACCTAAACTAGTATACACACAAATATAAACCACCAAAATCAGTGCACACACACAGATGGACAAAACACCAACCAATAATTCTCTTTGCACAACCCCTCTCTCCCTCTCTCTCTCTCTCTCTCTCTCTCTCTCTCTCTCTCTCTCTCTCTCTCTCTCTCTCTCATTGAAAGCTTCATCTTCCCCTCCCTCTTTCACACATTGTTCTCTCTCTCCCGTTCTCTCTCTTTCTCTTCATTTGCGCTCAGGATTCTCCGCTCGGCTTTCAGCTCTGGCTCTTCTGACGGACACACTGATCTGATTTAGGATGATCTGCACATTACCAACAACTCACAGCTCTGACAAAGAGTTGGAGGAGCAACAAAACACACGCTGACACACACACACACACTGACACACAGACGCAGTGAGCAGGGGTTTCTCTTATCGAGAGGGATTCCCTCACCCAGAGACACAGAGGTGAGTACAGAATACATACTTGCTTCTCTTTAAAATACCAGAGTAACTTGCATTTCTTTAAGTTTAAGGACAGACTTCATTTTCTGTAAACTGTGTCGGTCTTTGTCGCTCAGCTGGTTGTCTTTTACTTTAGTTTGCCACTTTCTGATCTGTTTGCGTTTGTTTTAGAGATTTGGTGCTGTGTTTTTGCTCAGCTTTTCCTTAGTTTTCTTCTGAACTATGAAGCTGTTTTCATGATGTTTAGAATTACGCTTTTAGTGGAGTCGTGTTCATGTGATGCTGTTAGATGTTATAATGCTTTATGGACAGCACTATGGTATAGTTGTTGTTTTATACTGTATGTGGCACCGTGTGTTTTGGGATATACTGCATTTAATTTACAGAGGTATTTACGTGCCTGTTCGACGATCCTCAGAAAATTTCAATAGTAACTATTAGGTTATTTTAGTAAGTTTTTTTTAGACATGGTACTTTATTCATGCTTTTTGGAGCAGCTTAACTAGATTTAAAATACTTTCACCAGTTACTAATCATTAAATTAAATTCATTAATTAACTTTAATATTAAATGCAGATAAAATTAGATTATTTACTAATCAAAACAAAATGACAAATATTGACAAATTACATTATTATTATTATTATTATTATTGCTTGCTATTATTATATTAGTTATTATTATTGTTATTATTATTATTATCATTACTAATACTATTATCATTATCAATACTTTGACAATAATAATAATATTAATAATGACAAAAATAGTGATTATAAAAATAGCAATAATAATAATAATAACAACAACAACAATGACAATAACAATAATGACGACAGTAATAATAATAAAAAAAATAATAATTATTATTATAATAATAACAATAATATTAACAATAATAATAATGATAAAAATAATGATGATAATAACAACAATTATAGTAATAATAATAAAAATATTAATGATTCTAATAATGACAATAATAATAATAATATTTTGTACTATTATAATAGCAATAATAATAGTATCAATAATAATAATAAAAATAATAATAATAATGATAGTAATAATAATAATAATAATAATAATAATAAGGACGTTAATGATGACAATAATAATAATGATTATAATAAGGAAAATAATAAAACAAGTGATAATAATAATATCAATATTAATAATAATAATGAATATAATAATAGCAATAATAATAATGATAAGAAAATAATAATAATAATAATAATAATGACAATGATAGATGACAATAATAGTATTAATGATGATGATAATGATAATAATAATAATAATGACGACAATATCAATAACAATAATGATGACTAATGATGATGATGATAATAATGATAACAATAATAATAATTATTATAACATAATAATTATTACATAATAATAATACCAACAACAACATCATTATTTTAATGTATCTATATACAGTAACACTTCAGATAATATTACATACATCAGATAATAAGATTAACTTAATAATAATAGTATAAAATAATATCTATGAACAATGTAACATTATATTTAAAATATAACACAAACAATTCATGCTGCTACTATCCGAGCATCAAAACACAACGCTACCAGCAGTTTTTTTTTTACTCTGGAATTTTTTTTTTTAAAAATTCACACGTTGAGCCTTTTTAGAAGCTTAAAGGTGTTTCAGAAATACACTCAACTGGCAGCACAGTGAAGACGGTAACTTAGAAACAGGCATGTCTGAGTGTGCGCACACACACACACACACACACACACACACACACACACACACACACACACACACACACACACACACACACACACACACACACACACACACACACACACACACACACACACACACACACACACACACACACACACACACACACACACACACACACACACACACACACACACACACACGGAGATGGGGGCGGTGGGTGTCTTCCATGGAAATAAAAGAGGAATGTCTGTGCGTTCCAGCACAGCGGTGTGTGAGAAGCAGTAATGATGGTCTTTACTCTCAAGTGTGTGTGCATGTGTGTGTGTTTGCTTGCATGTCCAAATGTGCATGAAAAAAACAACAACAAAAGAACACGGTGTATTAGCTGAATAATTCGTGTTGCTGACTGGAACGCTGCAATCAGTCCAGGAGCGCTCGTGTTCATTACAGCTCAACATGTACACACACACACACACACACACACACACACACACACACACACACACACACACACACACACACACACAGAAGCGGTTTGATGAAATATTAAAGGCATATTAGAGCGCTCACATCAATAAAAGATGAAAACAGGCCCAAAAACAAACATCCCTGTACTCTGATCACACTGCCCAGACAAAAAAAGATCCATAAACCTGCCAGGAAATTAAAGCAAGTCTCCTGAGAGAGTGTCTGTGTGTGTGTG